GAAAAGGAAATTAAAAGAATGAACAAAATTATAAAACATATATAAAAAAGCCAAATAGAACTTGCAAAAATGAAAGATATAATCAATGGGTTAAACAAGATTTGACACAGATGCAGAGCAAATTAGTAAACCAAAGTTCTGAAAAAGTTACTCAGAATATAGAAGACTTGATAATATTTTTAAAAAGATTAATAAACATGGAGGATAGAATAGTACAGAAGTAACTGAAGAATATCAAGTCAATCGTAAAGAGGCAATACTAAGAAAGACAACATTAAAAGTAAAAGCCATCAGGAGGGGCTAGCATTGAGGCACCCTGGGTTCAGCCTCTGTTTGCAATACTAGCACCCCATATCAGAGTGCATATTGGGAGTCCCGGATGCTCCACTTCTAATCCAGCTTTCTACTACTGCACCTGGGAAGACAGCAGAAGATTGCCCAAGTGCCTGAGACACTTCCACCCACATGAGAGACAAGGATGGCACTCCTGGCTCCTGGCTTCAGTCTGGCTATTATGGTCATTTGGGGAGTGAACCAATAGAAGAAGATTTTTCCTTCTCCTTATCTCAACCCTCTCATTGATAATGCTCTGCCTTTCAAATAAATAAATCAATCATTAAAAAAACAAAAAGCAGGGACCAATGTTGTGGCACAGCAGGTTAAGCCACCATGTACAGTGCTAGTACCCTATACGGGCTCCAGTTCGAGTCCTAGCTGCTCCACTTTTGATTCAGTTCCCTGCTAATGTGCCTCGGAAAGCAGTGGAGGACGGCCCAAGAGTTTGGGCCCCTGCATCCATGTGGGAGACCAGAAAAAGCTCCTGGCTTCGGCCTGGTCCAGCCCTGACCATTGCAGCCATTTGAGGAGTGAATCAGCAGATAGAAGATAGCTCTCTGGGGCTGGCGCTGTGGTGCAACAGGTTAACGTCCTGGCCTGAAGCGCCGGCATCCCATGTGGGCACCAGCTCTAGTACTGGCTGCTGTGGGGAGCAACTGAGACTAGACTAAGTTACTGGAATTAAGACTTATTCTATGCATCTGCTCTCCCACAATATGGCGCTGAGAGAGAGAGACCAAACAACCTCTACACAGCTGCCTCATCAGTTTGATAAGCTGCAGGAGCTGATCCTGCTCCTGATTGGAGGAGAACAGCGTGCTCAGCGTGTGGGTAGCAGAGCATGGATTGGTGGAAGAGGACTATAAAGGAGGAGAGAGACAACATGCACCAGGAACATCTGAAGGAACACCTGAGGAACATCTGAGCAGCCCCTGAGAGAGCCGGCCGGCGGTGTGCCGCTCCTCTGCGGAAGCGGGGAAAGCGGCGGGGGGTACCACCCCTCCACGGAGGTGGAGGGGCTGGCAGCTAACCCGGGACGGCATCGTTCCTCCACGAATGAGGGAACGGCAGCTAACCAGGGAAGAGCCGAGCAGACAAAAGAATAGCGCAGGGTCCGGTGTCGTTCCTCCGCGAATGGGGGAGCGACAGCTGCTCCTCTTCCAATCCAGCTCTCTGCTGTGGCCTGGGAAGGCAGTGGAGGATGGCCCAAGTCCTTGGGCCCCTGCCCCCATGTGGGAGACCCAGAAGGAACTCCTGGCTCCTGGCTTTGGATCGGCGCAGCTCTGGCTGTTGCAGGCATCTGGAGAGTGAACCAACGGAAGGAAGACCTTTCTCTCTGTCTCTCCCTCTCACGGTCTGTAACTCTACTTTTCAAATAAATAAAATATTTAAAAAAAAGATAGCTCTGTTTCCTCTCTCTCTGTAACTCTGACTTTGAAATAAAAAAATAAATATTACGAAAAAAATCTTAGAATTTTTGTTTTGTTTTGCTTTTTGTTTGCTAGCCTGATAGTGACTTATTTAGGCCAAAAATAAATCCAAGAAAGAATAAAATCTGCAAAGGACTGAGATCACAGTAACTGTCAATCTAGAAGTGCATATTAGTGCAACCTAGAAGTAAATAAAATTATCTGTCAAGAACAAGGGTGAAATAAAGGTGTTTACAGACAAACATTTAAAGCACATACTTCAATAAGAAAGTGATACCAAAGGAAATTCTGAGATACAGGTAGAAAAATAAAACAAAGCCTGAAATAAAGAAATACTTTTTTTTTTAATTTAACATAACTTTCAATATCTAAGTTGTAGTGTTAAAAAACAGAATTAGAAAGCAAGATAAGAAGAGCTGAAAAGTCTTAAGAGGGGTGAGTGTTGTGGTACACTGGGTTAAACTGCCACGTGGATGCCCAGATCTCACATCAGAATACTGTTAAGAGACCTGGCTTCTCTGCTGCCCTTCCAGCTTCCTGCTAATGTTCTGGGAAGGCAATGGATGATGATGGCCCAAGTACTGAAATCCCTGCCACGCAGGTGAGAAACTGGATGTGGTTCTTGGCTTCAGTCTGGCCCAGCCCTGGCTGTTTCGGCATTTGGGGAGTAAAAAAGCAGATGGAAGATCAATCTTTCATTCTGTTTCTCCCTCACTAAGCCTTTCAAATAACCAAAAACAAATAAATCTTTAAAAAAGGAGAGACTGAACTGGAGCATTCTAATGTCACAGTACTTATTCCACAAAAGAGTACATATTAATTAATTGTGGCTTTTGCTATGTAAAGCATGAAAAGGGTAATTTCAGAAGCAGCTTTTCAAAAAACAAGAACAGAGTGAAAAGTGTTAAACTAACAGAAAGAAAAACAATTACTAATAACCCACTTCTCTGGAAAGATAACAATTTTAAAATCATCCGTACCCACTAACAACGTTTCAAGTATATAAAGGAAAATGTGATAAATTCATCATCATAAAGGGACATTTCAACTCATATTTTTCAATAGCTCGAGACAAAATAAATTAAGGTCAAGCCAAGTAATTATTAACAAATATCAAGGAGTTAGGGTCATAAAAACCACATTCTTCGACCAAAAATTAAAATCAAAGTCATTTGAAAAACAATCTATGTTTAGAAAATAAAAATCATGCTAATTAGTAAGGCAAAAATTAGAAAATGCAAAGAAATAAACATTTTAAAAAATATAACAAGGTGGGGGGCTGGTGCTATGGCGTAGCAGGTAAAGCCGCCACCTGCAGTGCCAGCATCCCATATGGGCGCCAGTTCAAGACCTGGCTGCTCCACTTCCGATCCAGCTCTCTGCTATGGCCTGGGAAAGCAGAAGAGGATAGTCCAAGCCCAAGTCTTTGGACCCCTGCATCCGCGTGGGAGACCCGGAGGAAGCTCCTGGCTCCTGGCTTCAAATCAGCACAGTCCCGGCTGTTGCGGCCAACTGGGGAATGAACCAGCAGATGAAGACTTCTGTCTCTCTCTCTCCTTCTCTCTGTTTAACTCTGACTTTCAAATAAATAAATAAATCTTTAAAAAAAATACAACAAGGTGTAATTTAGCTAGCAGTTAAGAGAAGCATTGCACATCAGAGTTCTTAGGTTCAATATCCTGTTCTAGCTACTGATTCCAGCTTCCTGCTAACATAGACCTTGGCTGGCAGAGGTGATGACTCAAATAATTGTGCTCCTGCCACTCACATGAGAGACCTGCATTGAGTTCATAGATCTTGGCTCCAGACTGGCCCAGGCCCAGCTGCTGCAGACATTTGGAAAGTGAGCTGCTGGACAGAAGCTCTCCTTCTGTGTCTCTCTCTCTCTCTCAGTCTCTTTGCCTCTAAAATCCATAAAAATTTAAAGTAGATGTATACCATACCAAAATTTGTGCAATCAAACTACAGTGATTCCCAGAAATGTACTGAACGTTGACATTTAAAAAGTGAAATATGGGGACAGGTATTTGGCAGAGTGGTTAAGCTGCCACTTCAGACATCTACAACTCAGAGTACCTGAGTGTGAGTCACAGCTCAACTTTCAATTCCAGCTTCCGGCTAATGCACACCCTGGGAGGCAGCAGGTGTTGGCTCAGGTGATGCAGTCCCTAGACTGAGTTCCCAACTCTTTACCTTTGTCCTGACCCAGCCTAACCGTGACTGTTGCAGGCATTAGTATTCAATTTAAAACTTTTATAAAAAGCAATGAAAAATATATTTTTCAAAGGTATAATCAACCAGGCTAACAAAGTGTCACAATATGCAGTTTTCCTGTGGGAACTGATTTTAAAAATACCTGAAACGGAGCCGGTGCTGTTGCGTAGCAGGTGAAGCCATCACCTGCAGTGCCAACATCCCATATGGGCACCAGTTCAAGTCCTGGCTGCTCCACTTCCAATCCCGCTCTCTGCTATGGCCTGGGAAAACAATACAAGATGGCCCAAGTCCTTGGGCCCCTGCACCCATGTGGGAAGACCCAAAGGAAGCTCCTGGCTCCCGGCTTCAGACCAGTGCAGCTCTGGCCTTTTTGGTCAACTGGGGAGTGAACCAGCAGTTGGAAGACCTCTCTCTCTCTCCGCCTCTCCTTCTTCTCTGTTTAACTCTGCCAGTAAATAAATAAATCTTTTTAAAAAACTATTACAGTATTTTATGTATTTTTTAAGATTGGAAAGGCAGAGTTACAGAGAGGCTGGGGGGGAGGGGCGTCTTCCAACTACTGGTTCACTCCCCAGATGGCCACAACAGCTGGAGCTACACTGATTCGAAGTTAGGAGCCAGCAGCTTCTTCCTGGTCTCCCACATGGGTGCAGGGGCCCAAGTACTTGGGCCATCTTCTACTGTTTTCCCAGGCCATAGCAGAGAGCTGGATTGGAAGTGGAGCAGCCAGGACTCGAACTGGCGCCCAAATGAGATGCTGGCACTGCAGGCAGTGGCTTTACTCGCTATGCCAAAATGCCAGCCTCCAGTAATAATTTTTAATATTAGATAATTATGAAGTCTTGTTTAAATTTTTTATAAGTAATACACTATTTGCTACTCTATCTCCAGCAAACAGACCACAACCTGGCATATAATTTGCATTTAATATTTGTTACATGATGGACACTAAGTAACACAAAAATGTGAATATGTAAGTAGTTGCTAAAATACCAGATGAAAAGAGGGACCACTTACCTGGTAATAAAATTTTATCTGTCTCACCAAAATGGACAGGTTATGAATTCTAAGTGAAGCATCATTGTTGACTTTTTTATTTACTCTCTGACTCTCCGATTTAGGATTTCTGTAAGAAATAAAAAAATTCTTTGAACTAAAATTAAATTGAAATGAAATCGTCAATGCAGAAATAGCCAAAACTAATCATACAATACATGTTTTCTTTAAACAAATTTTGTATTCATCTCCATTAACACAGATGACCCAAAATGACAGTTGATTAGTTGGACATGTTTCTGTGCTTCCAAATAATATAAATAAATGCAACTGATATTCCTAAGGCAGTGGCACAATATATTTGAAACCTAGTCAGATGTTGTCCTTCATTCTCATTTTCTCTTTCCACAACCCTGGTATGAATAACCTCTCATTTCTTTTGAAGACTCACACATATTTCCATCACCCAAAATAAACACACTTAAATCAATAATTTAAAAAACAGGCTAATAACCAATAGATGTTATTTCTCCTCAATAGGTATTGGGGATTATATTTGAGCAGGCAACGTCCCAAATTAAATAATGAAGTAGACAAAACAGGTTAGTACTTTTTTATCTTGGGCAAGCTTTGTAGAGTCAATGAAAGTAAAGGGCTGAATGACTCTAGATTAGCAGAAACTGAGAAACAAAAATAGTTAAGCTATGGTTAACAACGGGAAATTTAAGTGAAAGCCATGGCATCAAAACAAAGTTATTTTGAGGCCAGGGGCCAGCATTATGGCACAGTGTGTTAAACTGCCTCGTGCAATGCTGGCGTCCCATATCAGAGTGCCAGTTCAAGTTTCAGCTGCTTCATTTTCAAACCAGATTCGCTGCTAATGTGCATGGGAAAGCACCGCTTTGAACCAAGGACATGGTCCTTGTAACTCAAGTGGGAGACCCAGTTTGGCTCTTGGTTTCAGCCAGGCCCAGCCCAGGCTGTTGTAACAATTTGGGGAGTGAACCAGATGTAAGATCTCTCTCTTTTGATCCTTATCTCTCCATGTCCCTCTGGCTTTCAAATAAATAAATCTTTAAAAAATAAAAATTTGAGGCCAGAACATAAGCAGGTATGAGGTTCTTCCTTATCAGCGCAAAGACATCTCACTAGCGCTGGAGCTGCTACCAAATGAAATAGCATATATTAAATCAGGAAACCTTGTGCAAAGGCTAAGTCCAGAATATCAAAAAGTAAGAACCTAAGCAGTTCCTGGGACAGGACATTATTCCATGATTATAGAATTTAGATATAGGCACCTCCACACAAGGATGCAGCAGAGAAGTCAAGAAACTGAAATCTACCCAAAAAAGCATATGGACTGAAAAGAAATCTCTCATTCTTTAAACCATCTCTTTATTCAGACCATTACACTCCTGACGCTTTCAGTTCCTTCTTTAGATTAGACTCTATGGTGCTTTATTTCAGTAATACTCAAACTTTTGGGCCTCAAAACTCCTTGAGAATCTTAACTGATAGTTCCACACAGCTTTGAGGGTTATATTTACTACAGTATAAGTTAAAACTGACAAACTTTGAAGTTATTATCTATTAACTAATTTAAGAATAACAATAAGTCTATCCAATGCTAACAAAAATTTTAATAAATAGAGTGGTACTGTTTTACCATTCTTGAGAATTTCTTTAAAGCCACTATTTTAATTTTAAAACAGGTTGGTTTCCATCTTTGCTTCTGTTATTTATATTTATTTGTTTTATTATATCTGTTTATTTGTTTTTTGTATTTATTATTTTGATTCAAATATATGCAGAAAATTCAGCTCCACACAGATAAGTAGTTAGAACTGGAAAAGTTCTATGAAAGGATCCTCAGCTCACATTCTTGAGAACTACTGCTTTACTTCAATCATTCTCCTGCCTGCTTCCAAGACTTTGATCCTTTCATCCCCAAATCTTGCGCCTTTCCTTTGACTATACCTATACTGTCAATTCCAATCCATGGGTCAGTTTAATCATCTATATTGAGATTGTTCACAGTTCAGTAATATGTGATAAAACAATGCAACCAAACTAAGCTAAAATAGGAAGAAGTAGCTACTTTGAGGAGAAATGAGGGTAAACTTGTTCTCTTGTAATAAAGTACTGGGAAAAAAAAAAAAACACTATGTAAAGATGTTTTCAGACTTCAACAGTAGCTAACCCAAGGCTAGGTTTTCTCTATTGAAAGCAGTAAGACACTCCACAAAATGAGGTACAGAGAGCAAGATAGCCCAAGATCCACTAAACTTAGAGAAAAAGCTTGGAATTTGTAGAGAATGAAGTAAAACTTATCACAAAGAACACCAGAGAGAAGGGAGCTACATTAACAACACTGAGAGAAGAGAGCTACACTAACAAAGAGCTCCAAAAATCTGTTTTTAAGATGTTGTGAAAATACTAATTTGTATATGTATACCCAAAGCCTCCACAAGAAAAATTGCAGAATATCTGTAAGCTAAACAATTCCCAAAGCTCAAAAAGTAAAGAGAGAAATTTGAGTTTTGCACAGACAAAATGGAAGAGACTTTAATGAACACCCAGAAAATTTAGCAGGGACCTCAGAAGAGTCATATCTTAGAAGCAGGACTAACAATTTTAGAAATGTTAATCAAGAATCTTCCTAAAAAGCTTAAAAAACAAGTCTTGAAAGGATCAAACTGCAAGTAACCTGATAATCTGATAAAATGAAATTTATCACTCCTTAAAGGATCAAATGAAGACACTGTACAATGCAATGATCACAATGTCTGGCATGTGATACAAAATTACTAGACACCCAGAAATTAAGAGATCCATGGGACAATATTAAACTTACTAAAAAGCTGTATGAACAGTGGTCTTCTCTAAGTGACTTAAGAGTAAGTTTCTGACCTAAAACCCAAAAATCCTTGAATATTTTTTCTACCAACATATTATTGTTAAAAATCTAGAAATTAGCAATTATATATTACTATACTGTCCAATTTTCAGAACCATTTAAGTACCCCTACTGGTCCCAATAATGAGTGGATATTCTCTATAGGAAATGGATTTAGTTCAGAATCACACTTCACATTTAGTAGTCTGAATTCCAATAGGCTGAATCTTTGTAATTTTTTCAGCTAAGTTGTTCAGCCAATCTTTGAAGTCCATGAAATAGATACTAAGAAGCATATTAGAGCCTAGTTATTTCAAAGGATGTTTTTCCACTGGGTTTGTCTGACTACGAGGGTGGGGAACATCTAACAGTGCCTGCAAAATCATTTAGTCTGGCCCTGCCAAGGCAAATGGAAATTCAATAAATCTATAGTAGGCTAATTTTTAAAGTGATAATTTTATATGGATCACAAATTATGTAATAAATATCCAAACAACCCCTGGCAGAAAAAAAGGTTCCCCATCCCTGAATTAGGCTGTCTGGCTCATAATTACGCACAAGTTATGTATCTATACTGGTTCTTCTCAACACATCCTAAAAAGCAGTATATGACTGCAATTTGTCCCATTACTGATAACATTCACTTTCATCAAATTAAATTAGTATCTGTTGGTACTGTTATGAGACTACATTCCTTTTGTAATTAAGTATTTTGTGACAATGTGCTTTGAAACTATCTTGATAATTTGTTTTCATCAAATCTTCAATTTATTTATTTATCAGTATGGATTCATGGTTCTCTATTTATTCAATTGGCTATCATATTACTACAATTACTTTGATATTCAATGTGTCCTAGACATAGCTGGTAGGAGCTTTCTCAACCTGACTTGTGTCCTTTGATATGCTCCCATCATTCTTTTTAAGATTTATTTTTACTTATTTTGAAGGTCAGAGTTACAGAGAGAGGGAGAACCAGAGAGAGAGATGATCCATCTGCTGGTTCACCACCCAGATACTCACAGAGGCCAGGCAGAAGCCACGAGCTTTATCTGGATCTCCCATGTAGGTAGCAGGGACCTTAACTTGAGTTATCTTCCACTGCTTTTTCCCAGGCCATTAGCAGGGAGCTGGATGGCAAGTGGAGCAGCCAGAACACAAATCAGCACCCGTTTCCATCATTCTTTAAATGCTTTAGTGATTTATGATGCAAAATGTTCCAGATTCACCTTTAATGTTCACCCCCTCAACCCTGAATAAGTTTCTTCTCTATTTTAATGAAAAACACTATTCTGAATATCCTAGATGTGTTCATTGCTATTGAGGTGTTGCTGTTTCCTGGTACTCTCAGAAATATCTATGTAAACATTTTGAAAACGATGAGTTCACATTAATCCTTATCCCCAATTCCAATATAATCACACTATTCATTCTAGTTTTCCTTCTACCCAAATCTGTAACTCTTTCCTCTGACAGTGAAAACTTTGTTCCTACTATCCTTAATACTTAATTTTATATATTGATTTACTTAATCAATGTGTAACCAATCTAATGTAACTGTAATTCCGACCCTAACCAATTCCTTCATCTCACATGGAACCCCTTCTCATTTACATCTGACACCTCACACCAGACCATCCTCCTCACTTCATTTATGCTCTAATTTCCCTTACCAGATATCCCTTTATCCATGACATTTTTAGTAGCCCAGATTAGTTGCTAACATCCTACACCTGGGAACCTTTCTCCAGCTGACTCTCCACACTGAACCACTTTTCCACTTGGACATTTCTTTAAACCAATTTTGATTCCCTCCTATCCCAGAATGCCCCTCCTCACTGATGCCTTCAATCCAGTCAGACTTCACTCCACATGTGAATGGTCTTCATATCCTGCTCAGGCTCATGTCCCACTCTAGTCAGGCTCATGTCCCACTCTAGTCATGGTATACTCCAACTCTGTGTGTCAGCTTTTCCACCTTGCTTGGGTTTCAATACCCTGTGCAGCACAGCACTAATACTCTACTCTAGTCTACCAAAACCCAACTTCCATCAGCACAAACACCTGTTTTATTCTGCACTATTCTATGGTTTTAGGACAAACTGTTCAGAAAGGAAGGGAAAGGGTAAAGAAACAGTATTATCTTAGCTTAAGAGAAAAAAAAAAAAAAAACAATAAAATACCACATAGAAATAAGCATGGGCCGGTGCCACGGCTCAATAGGCTAATCCTCC